AAAAAATTGAGTTTATTTTATTTATTTTTACTGATTTTTTAAAATATTTTAAGCAATTTTTTATTTTTTATTTTTTTTATATACACCTAATTTAGATATACAAAAGAAGTATAATATTTTATGATTTTTTTTTTAAATTCACCAAATACAAAAAAAAAAAAATACAAAAATATAAAAATTCAATACATTATCTTATTTTCTTGTATTCAATAGATTTTTTTTTGAAAATTTTTTTGCACAAATTTTATACTTTTTAAATATATCTAAATTAAATTGATTTAATCTACATATAATGGTGGAAATAAAAATGAAAAATTATATTCATATATAAAATTTTATACAAAAAATATTATAAAAATGTTGTGATAGTGATATTATTGAAAATATAAACCATGTTTATATATGTTTTGTTTTAAAGTGAAAGGTCACCATTAAGTTATATCATTGTGTTTGAAAATTCTATATAAAATTTATGTTTGTATATCGTTACTTAATAAGAATATGTTCAGGTAGAATTTAATTAGGAAAAGTTGTAGAATGTAGTCAAGAATCATGATGATAAGAAAAAGAAATGGTAGAAAAAAAGCCAAGATGGTCATTTAGAAAATTTTAGAGCATGACATTAGTAATCTAGGAAGCAATTTGTAATGAGATTACAAATTTCAAGGAGAGGAATATAAATTTTTTAATTGTGAAAAGGGACCTGTATTAAACAAAAATGTCAGGATGTCAGTGTAATTTACCCAATAATATACAAATCTTTTACTTTTAAAACAAAACAGCTATGAAAATGATTTATATTTATAAAATTTGAAATTGTCATGTCATTCTTCTTATGTTTGCTATATCAATTTAGGTATAGATAGTTTTTAATTTTATTTATTACTATTATTATTATTATTATTTTTTCTTATAGCAAAAACAATATGTATGTCACATAACTTTGGTATAATTGTATTGATCTCTCTTTTACTAAAACAAAAACAAATGAAATTATGTAGATAGTTTGTGGACACAATAATAATTAATAGTAACATATACATTTTAATGTAAAAGGATGATAACATTAAAAAAAAAAAAAATTATACAAATAACTGATGATAAGGAGATAAAGCATTTTATTTATGAAAAACTTACAGAGTTTTTTGTTTTTTGTTTTTTTTTCAAATTTTAAGAGAGGTGGGTGTAATTTGCTCAAAAAATTAGTAAGGGTTATTTACAGGTAAATATTATATGAACAAACTTTTTTTATAGTTTCTTTTTGCAAATCCATGTGATGTGTGTGGGTAACAAAATTTTGATATTTGTAATGATTTTTTGTTTAAATTAAATGGAAGGAACAACTCATTTACCACGTACGATGGTAAAGTATGTTTGTATAATGAGACTAACAAAAATTGACTTATGTGCTACATGTGACATTATTTTGAGGGCACAACTAAAAATGGAAGGAATAATTTGAAATTTTAGTGAAAATACATGGGACAAAATAAAATTTTAATGAAAGTACAAAAAATGCTAACATTGAGAAAAATCTCAATGTCTGGCAGGTCATAATTGTTATTCTCCTTGTTGGTCATGGTAAAATTGTACTCTTCTTGATGGAACTACCTGTTCATGGTTGGGAACATTTAAGACTCGTAAGTAGGTCTAGTTTGAAGATTATCACACTATACGAACACATCAAATTGTTGACTCTGTTCATCAAATTGATGGAACTATCTGTTCATCAGTCATGGCATACCCATTGCAAGATTCCAATGACTTCTATGTCTAAATGCTTTCCTTTCTTATGGTAAAATCGGTGACAGTCAGCGATTTATTTAAAATTTAGCGTCAACCGTTTACAGCATAAAAGCACATTCATGTTTGACAAAAAAAGCAAATCAAGTATCTGAGGCCATTAAAACACGTAAAATTTTAATACACACCAAGCATTGCCCTCTGCTACCTAATCTAGCAGATGGTTGCATAACCTCTAACAAGTTTGAACCTAGATCTTACCATTGCCTAATCAATGCTCATACATGCAATAATGGGTGAATACAGTGACAATGACCAAAGCAGTCCCTGCAGCAAGTATGGAATAAAAATTGAAAAATATCGCAAACAATTGGATTCAGAAATATCAGTTTAGAAACAACATCAGAGATAATTATTTTATTTTATTTTTATTTAGAACAAGAGGCTCAGAACCACAGCAATGTATACATATTTGTGTTTCAATATGATTGTGTGTATATGAATCATTGTTTAAGTCGTATCCATCAAAAAATTGATCTTTGTGAAGACCATTCTATTTGATCATTGCATTTATCCGTCAGCAACAATGTTGCAAAACCAGGTAAAGAGGGCAGACCAGATGTGCAACTTCAGTGAGCATACCCCTGCACATCCCCAATTGTTGTGAAACCCCTGCTTTCTCTCTTAAGCTCCTGCATAACTAAAATTCTCCGTCTGGCATAACCAGAGGATTTCTGGCACAGCTTTCTCAAAAACATAGGTTAGCTAATCTTGGTAGTTGTACCAAAGTTCACAGCAATGGCATGTGTTTGCTTCCCTAACAAAATTCAAGAGATCCGCCCAACAAAATTTTGCATGCCAAAAAACATATGCGCATCTGTGGGGAAATATGAGTTTCCGAAAGACATGATTCCACTATTTGTCAGTGTGATAATAAAAAACCACCATGAATCTGTTCATCAGCCTTCACACGTTATGCAGAATGAAAACTATTCTAAGAATGAGGAGCCAAATTGAATATCGCACAAAGCCGTCAAGTTCTTTGGGTGTTGAGATTCAAAGACCAAGGAATCAGTCTGATTGTGCACTAAGGTCCATGAGCAATCAGTTTCAATCCTTCCATGAGACTATAACTGCTGGTGTTTCTTCTCAAGCTTCTTCTCTTAAAGAAAAAGATCAGCGGCTTTTCCATCATTCCGTGGTATGCCTCCGCTTCAGATAACTCCCCAGCGCATTTCCGCCTTAACTGTCCGAGGTAGATAATCAATTCTCACAAAAACTTGGCTCACCAGTAATTGCCACAAGAGCAATCACCATTCCTAAAATGGTGAAACCTCTTTCCATCTCTCACAATGATTTCTCTTGCTACCACCTTTGACATGAACTTGAATGCATTATGGCAGTCCCCACAGATCCTAAGGTTCTTGAAGACCCTAACCGTGGCTCCAAGTGGAAGCTTCAGGAGCCCAAATGCAACTGCAAGCTTCTCACTGTGAGTAGATAAAGCATACTCTTTTTGTTCAGATTCCATATCATGCAACACATATTTGGTGTCAGGAACATATCCTAATTTCCTCATCTTCAGTCCCAGCTCTTCAAGATAGTTGTACACTGCTTGCACCTCAGGGTGCACTGTGTCATCCACCAAGAATACATGTACACTGCTTTCAACCTCAACCCAACTACAACCGGGCTCCTTCTTCACCCCTCGGTCCCTCATCAACTTCCGCACTTTGGCCACGCTATCCCACCGGCCCACATTGGCATACATGTTTGACAAAAGTATGTAAGTTCCATCATGTTGTGGCATCAGCTCAAACAGTCGTTCTGCAGCCTCGATCCCCACATCCATGTTCCCATGAATCCGGCAACCAGAAAGCAGAGCCTCCCAAATTGGAGCACCTGGCTCAAAAGGCATAGTCTGGACCACGTCTTTTGCTTCAGAGATTTTTCCAGCTCGACACAACAAATCAATTAGACGGGCATAGTGATCTTCACCTGGACTTATACCATATAGTTTATACATGGAATTGAAATAATTACGTCCTTGTTTAACTAGACCTGCATGGCTACAAGTGGAGAGAACTGTGAGGAAGGTTATCCGATCAGGTAATATGTTTTCCTTCAACATCTGTTCGAAATGTTCTAGAGCTTGAGCACCATGTCCATGCTGCCCCAAAGCAGCAATCATGGCATTCCAAGATACCGAATCCACATAAGGCATTGTTAGAAACACACAGTGTGCAGCCTCAACAACACCACATCTAGCATACATTGTTATTAGTGCATTACCAGCTGAGAGGCTTGAATCAAAACCAAACCGGACAAGCTGAGCATGGAGCTGGCGTCCATGCTCCAATGCTGCAAGCGCAGCACAAGAAGTAATAGCTCCTGCAAATGCATAATCACATGGCTTGAGCCCCTCTAACTTCATCTGGCTAAACAGCTTCAGACCTTCTTCCCCAAACCCATTCTGTGCAAGTCCTGATATCATAACGGTCCATGTCAAAAGGTTTCTCTCTGGCATCTCAGTAAAAAAAGACCTAGCTTCATTAATTCGCCCAGCATTCACATACGCTGATAAAATTGCATTCCATGAAACAAGGTCTCTTGTGGGCATGCTACTAAAAATCAACCGGGCTTCATCAACTTTGCCACATTTCCAATACAAGGTAATCAATGCATTATTCACAGACAATGAAACATCCTGTGAAAGTTTTTCCATCCGTAGAATGTAAGCGTGCACCTGCTTTCCATGGAGGAACAATCCAGCATTAGCACAAGCGCTAAGAACACTTGTGTATGTAAACTCATCATGCTTTATCCCTGATAAATGCATCTTTCTGAACATTTCCAATGCTTCAGGCACGAAACTATTATGCACGTAACCTGAAATCATCGCATTCCATGCAACCACCAATTTTTCATTCATCCCATCAAAAACTTGACGAGCTGCATCAAGATCACCATTCCTCACATAACCTGTAATGATTGTTGTCCATGACAACTCATCTCTCACACGCATCTCATCAAATAACTTCTTGGCTGCAGCCATCAATAATGATGAAGATGCTAATGGTGAAGAGGCACACTTCACATAAACCGATATAAGGGCATTTACTACTGAAGTGACCAACCCAGTTCCTGATTTCGCAACTGCACAATGTAGCTGCTGGCAATGAGTTTCTTGATCAGCAATGAGTGCCAAAGCAGCAAGTATGCTAGTGAAAGTGTAATTATCAGGCTCAAAATCATCCTGCTTCATGTCACGAAAGAGTTCAATAGCAGCATGACCGTCATTATTATGTGAATAGCCTGTGATCATGGCATTGTAGCAAACAGTGTCCCGAACACTTAACGGGGTTCTTCTAAATATCTCTCGGGCCAACTCTGGGTTACCAGCAGCGGAGTATGCAGCAATCATCGTCGTTCTTGCAACAATGTCTGGTTCGGGAATTTTGTCGAACAAGTGGTGAGCGTAGACAAGATAAGACGATTTGCAATAGATATCGATCAAACGGTTGAGGATGTGGCCGCGTGGCCTGAACCCAGAAGTAATCATGTGGGCATGGACGCAACGGGCGAGGGAATAGGAGGTGGAACTATGTGGGCAGCATAGTTGAAGCTGGGCAGCGTAACAGTTGGCCACAGAGCGAATGTCAGATTCACGGAGGCTTTTGATGAGGTTTATGGATGTGGAGGCAGCAGCAGTAGCATTCTTCATGTCTGTATCGGTTAGAAATCATGGTTTTGATCTTGTCGTAGGAATCATGATTTTTGTCACTGGTTGTGAGGAGGACACTCGACGAGGAGGGCTTGGGCACTGAAAACCCGGAGGCAAGGGCGAAAGAGACGGTGTTGATCTCGCTGGCGAAGTGTTCCTTGGTTTGTTTGTTTCCCTAAATCCCAAGTTGTGTGTAGATTATTTTATCGGATACATTAGTAATTGAATTAATTTATATGAGTTATTTATTAATATTAAAGAATTAGTTATGTGATGACATTATATTTTTTATTATTTAGATGGATAATTTTATAATTTTGAAAAATTAGGTTAATAAGCCCACCTATTGTGACTTTAAGTCTTGGGAAATAAACAAAATAGAGGCTGGGAATTGTTCCATAGGCGGTTAGGGTTTGAGAAGGTAAAAGAAAAATTAAAGAAAGGAAAACAAAACCAAACCAAAGTGAATAAGGAGGATTCATAGAGTGGTGATTTTTCTTTATTCATCACTTAAGGTAAGATTTATTTTATTGTATTCTTATCTATGATTTTGGTGTTAATATATCAATAGATGATTTTATGGGCATATATGATTAAATAGATATATTGATGTAGTCTATGTTGGGGGTCTCGATTTTGCTCAATTTTAGAGAGTATTTTGCATCCCGTTTGGGTGGTTCATATTTTGAGATTGATATGTGATGGGTTAAGTTAAAAAAAAAAAAAAAAAAAAAAAAAAAAAAAAAAAAAAAAAAAAAAAAAAAAAAAGGCACTTTCGAGGCAAATTCGAGCCTCGGATTCGAGGCCCCTATCAGCGCTCGAAGAAATATATGCACGTGTCACTTTTATGACTATAGAATAAAATGAAAAAAGATTGAGGCCTCAAATTTTTGGCTCAAATTTGGCTCGAATTTCCCTTCTTTTTTTTTTTTTTTTTGGGTTGATGCTTTGCTTGTTATTATTATTACTATTTTTATTTATTTATTTTTGTAATGTATTAGCCCAGAAAAAAAAAATTGCATTTGAGGCAATTTCGAGCCTCAATTTCGAGGCCTCAATCACAGCTCTAAATATATATGTGTGTTGTGTGTTAATACAACACAAATACAACCGAAGCTCTCACTCTCACTCTCTACCTCTGGCCTACCTCTCTCTCTCTCTCTCTCACTCTCTACCTCACTCTCACACAGACAACCGAAGCTCCCTTACACAATCGAAGCTCACTCACCGCCAGTTCCTTCTTCCTCTCACGGTATCTCCGTCTCTCTCTCTCAGATCTCCTTCTCTCTCACGAATCTCCTTCTCTCTCTCTCCCTCTCTTGTTTTTTGCTTTTGTTTTTCAGATCTGGAAAATGATAGAGATAAAGATGAAGATGTTGATGATGAAGATCGTTTTCTGGAGCTTTTTTTTTTTTTTTTGATGTTGTTGATGTTGCTTTTTGAGCTCAATGTTGTTGATTTTTTTTTTGATGTTGTTTGATGCTGTATTTGAGCTCAAATAACTCGTTTTCTGTTGATTTTTTTTGGCCGGGGATTTTCGGGGTCGGGGAAACCCGATCCCCATTAGGGGGCGGGGGTGGGAGCGGGAGCGGAAGTGGGTTCCCCGTCAGGATCGGGGCCGGGGACTAAGGAAGTTCTGCCATCGGGCATCGGGGACGGGGAGGGTGATCCCCGGCCCTGCCCCGCCCCGTTGCCATTCCTAACTGTGTATAGCCGTTACAGTAGAACTTCGCACAAATTTTACACATGGTGGTCGACCAGCTCATGCAAATGGTTCAAAAATTGGCATGCGAACTGGTTCAAATGGTTCAAATTACTGTTTCAAACGGTTCAAAAAAAATTGAACCAACGGTTAGGTAGGTTCAAACAGTTCAAAAAGGTAAAAAAAATAAAATAAAATTGCCTTACCGGTTGACCGACCGATCGACCAATCGGTTGACCCACGGGATGATTTTCTTTTTGATGCACCGTTGGAGCAACTGATATCAAATTAAGAAAATGAGCCATTTTTTACTCAAATTTAATGAAAAAAATACTGAACCGTTAGAGATGCTCTTAGTAGATTAATAAAGTACAGTTAAAACTTAAAAGAACCGCCCTTCGACCATCAATTTAAATTTCAAACCTTTCCCTCACTGCATTTAAAGTATGGTTATCTGTCACTTAGTTGTTTACAAAGGTCTCAGCTCCTTTTATTTACATGAAAAAGATTATTTTATGTATCCATATGATATTGAGACAAAATAATTCAAGCCATTCATTTTTATTTGGGTAGAACTCACAATATAAACCATTCATTTGTGTTTAATTATATTGTGGCATTAGTAGTTCTATGAATCTAGACATAAACAATTAAAAGCTTTTCAGAAAAAAAAGGTCAAGATTCATTATGATTTTATACATACAACTTTGATTGTGCATTATAGATTTAACATTTTAGGTATTTTCCAAGTTCAATTTTTTTGGTCTCCAGACTTTCCATATTTGTTGTACTGTCACGTCACTACTTATGAGGCAATACTGTGTGTTTGATTGGACGGACTGAATAAGGGGGGATTAGAATCCATCGAACTTGAGTCCTGGGACTGTGAATCCCCCGGACTATTTGGTTGGATTGGATGTGTATCCTGTGTTTGTTTTTTCATGGGATTAGATGTCTGGAAAGGACTATTTTTAGTGAATCCAACGTTTGTTTTTTCATGGGATTAGATGACTGGATAAAATAAATGAACAAAAGACTATTTTACCCTTTTTCAAGTATTTACTAAATAACAATATTATATCTGTCTTTAAATGTAATCTTTATTTATAATTGATTAGTGGACCACAATTAATTATTTAATTTTTTCAATGTTTTTTTTAGCACCATTGTTTTTTTTTCAAAGTTTGAAACATATATTTTTCCAATATTATATTTTTTAATGGTCACATTTTTTCAATATAAAAAAGACCATGTCCCATCTAATTTTTATCCAACACAAAAAAATTATTTCTCCAACACAACACACCAGCAGTTCATGGTCTTATATCCAACACAACAGCACTCCATAAATCCACAAAAATTATATTGACACCAGCACTCCATAAATGTCCAACACAACACACCAGCACTCTATAAATGAACAAAAATTATTTTTATCCAACACAACACACCAACACTTCATATTGACACCAACAAATCCACACAACACACCAATTAACAATCATCCAAATAATTGTGTACAACAACCAAAATAAAAACAACAACCAACATGAAAGTGGTATATGTTCATAAGGATGTCAGTACGTACAAATATTTGTTCCTACAACTACCAACCTTCAACAACAAAAACAAAAGCATCCCATGACTAGATGAGTCAGAGGCACCAAATCATGATATAATAATTTAACCCACAAAATATTGTGCTTGACGAATAGAAAAAACAACAATGAAGTCTACGGAGCATAACCCAAAAACCAAATATTCCCATCACATGTCACAAGTTTGTTATGGAGCATTCCTACTTAGCAACCTCATTACCCACCTCAGCCTATCATCATGTGGTAAGCTGAAGAACATGTCAAGCTTTTGGACATCATGGGATATGATTTCGCAAGCATCTAATCTTTCATCTGCGGTAATTGGCAACTTTGTAAGTTCATCATTTAATGATGCTCATTTTGATGCGACATCATGTGAATACCCCATCCTTTTTCCAATGAATTCCAACTTCTCATTGGTTTTACCCATGACATCCACCAACTTGTCATCAAACATAGACAACTATTCAACTACATCATCATCAGATCTTGACCTTTTCTTGTCTTTCTTTTTGGCAGAGCTCTCACAAGCCCGCTGAGTTGCTGAGTTTGAACAATCCATTCCTTCACTAGTGTGACTATTTACTCCCATTTGTTCAAGAAAAGTGTCATTATCTGCAAGGCCATGCAACATCACATCTTCCTCAGCATTCATAGCCTTAATTGCATCAGTAGGCCCTTCAGCAAAGTCCCCTGTAGGTCGATCCTTGCCAAATATTTGAATCCATTCATCAAAATATGGGAAAGTTTTATTCCTCAAGTGTTTTGCATCAGTGTCCCCCTGCAATGACCAACTAATCCCAGTTAATATAGGAAAGTGTATTTCAAAAGTAGTTACATAAACATGTAGCAATTAAAAAAAAAAAAAAAGTGTCTACATCATGGTAACTTTACCTGAACATATGCCTCCCATACACTATCACTCTCCACATCGATTCTTTTTTCAGTGTCATTCCATCCAAACCCACTAGTAGCAAGCATACCGGACACAAAATTATAGTGCTTATTCCATATTTTAATTTTTGATTCAATATGGGGACAACCACGTAAGTCTGTCCCAGGTAATATATCCGCCAATTTAGTTTCTAGTCTCACAAGATAGCCCGCCTTGAAAGCATTATCAACTTTCATTCCTTCATTAACAATGGACACCAATGCTGAAATTAGAGCATCCTCTTCACGTGGGCTCCAAATTCGCCTTTGTTTTGACAAATCAACCTTGTCATTTTTTTTCTTACGAGAACTGGATACCTCATTATCCATGCCTAAAGTAATCATGCAACATTTCATACGCATTACAATAAATCATTAATAACTCATAAAATAAATTGTCAGATATTAATAAAAATACATTTTCAACATCCACATTGTCATATATTAATAAAAATACCTCATCAAATAATTCAACATCCATATTGTCAGATATTAATAGAAATACATAGCAATGTCACATTAAAAATTTAAATGGTTTAATAACAAATCAAAGTAGAGCACAATAGTAATGAAAATAAACACTAAACTATTCTCATCCAGCTCCCCCACTAGCCAACCAATCGTTGTACAATTGCATAGCGAGTGTATCTCGCCACACAGTCCATTCATTAGATGTCTCAACAGTATCAGTGAAATCATCTCCCATTGGCGGTTGATTTTCTTCGTCATCATCGTCATTCTCTATAGGGTCAACTGCCATCTCTCGTCGAATGAAATTGTGTAACAAGCAGCATGCTGTGATAATACGATTTTGGGTTCTAATGGGGTAGTATGATGCACTGCGAAGTATTGCCCATCTGATTTTCAACAATCCAAAACACCTTTCTATGACATTCCTGGCTTATGCATGTTTCATATTGAAATATTCTTGGTA